TTTTAAGATAAATTAAAACTTTAATTTGTGAATAGATGCAACTGTAGGCAACAACTATGGAATTGCAGCTCCCATTAAAAAAAAACAACAAACCAACAACTTTAATTGTGAAACTGCCAGGGAAGCCATGGATTTCATTACAGCTTTTACTGCCTCTCCATGGAAAACACAGAGATGTTAGCTGTTTAACTCCCAAATTTGCATATTTTATAGAAATGAAAATTCAGTGCCATTAAGCATAGTTAACAACAGCATTGTAGTAGCAACGATTTTACTATTACTACTTTTAATTGGGAAATTGTGCTGGGATATTATTTGTGTGTGCATGTGGCAGGTGGGGGAGTCAAATCCTGCTCTACATTTGTGCAGTCATGGGAGGGTTGTCACCTCCTCTGTCCCCACCTAGAGCTGTCTCAGTTGCTGTGTTACATGCTCATCAAGCCTGGTGGTGACTGGGCACCACAGCAAGGGCAGTGGAGAACTTCTGCACATAAATAAGACCCTAAATACAGATTTCAGGGTAGTGAAAGTCATACATAATGCCTTGCCACCCTTCTTATCCCCCCTCCTCCCACTGACAATGTCTACGACATTTGAAGAGTACTTTGGGATTCATTGTTCCCCAGTTTTTCACTCTTTCAATCATGACACTAAAGATTTGAGAATCTTTAGTTTTCATGAATGTTGTCTTATACATTTTTAGTCTTTCTCTCACAAAATTAGCCTAGCAGACAGGTCTAGGGGAAAAGGAGAGTAACATTCTTACTCCTTTTGTCTGAGAAATGAAAAGATCTGTCTGTGACCTGGATAACCATTCTTGCAACCCATACAGTCTAATTCTACCCCTGTGCAGATTGCTGCTGGTGAGAATTTTAAACAGTTATTTAAGGGAAGGAGTAATTAGAGGCGTGGTGCTGAATGGAAATTAGGTTGAAATACAAAATTTATAAAGGAAAGGAAGTTGTTCCCAACTCCTTTGGTTTCCATCTTTCAAGATGATTGAGCTTCAAGTAGTAGATCTTGTCCATCTGGTATCTCATTAAGTATTTGATATGGAGAGCTACGGAAAATAAACTTTGATTCAACAATTGTAAAAATGAGCAGAAGACTAGTTAAACCAGAGGCAACAAGGCACTTGTTTGGAAAGGGAAGATAGTGGTCATGAGGAAGATAATTTTTGGAGTTTCTCAAAGAGCACCCTTGACTTTATTCCTTAATTATTTTGCGAAATTGGGCTCCTGAAATTTTTTGCTTACACTAGTTTGGCTGTTGTTGTCACTGTAAAACAGGTAGAAATATGGAAGGCCTGATGAGTAGGTAGGCTTCCAAAAAACATATAGAGATAAAATTCACAATTGCAGAGTTCAAAGTCAGGCATTCAGGAGTTTTTGTGCAGCAAGTCAGAGATCATTAAAGACAAATAACAGAAGAAATTAAATTGCAATTCTGACAGTCAGAGGAGGACTATCCAGTAATTTCAGACGAGAACGGATGCAAAACAAATCTATGAGGTTGTCCTGAGTTTGTTATGGAAAGTAAATTCAGTTGCAAGACTCATGGCTTTTTTCCAGCAATTTTCATAATCTTAGCCATGGCAATTACTGTAAATTTAGTGTTGGTAACACCGAGTGCCTTGCTTACATTAGTTCTGCAGCTACTAGAGAGGTGGAAATTGCAGTGACTGAAAAGAGAAACATTAACTCCATTCCAGATGGAAACAACACAATATCCCAGTGCTAAAAGAAAAGACAAAACTTTCCAGTGCTAGTGAATAAATAGTTCCATTTTTTCATTCCAGTGGGATTTGGTCTCCTTCACCAAGGGATTAATTGATTGAGGAAATAATAAATTCCAATTCTCTGATTCTCTATATTATTTTAAGGCATTTCTGTTTCAGTGATTATTTTGTTGCAATGAGGTGGTAAATTGATGGTTATAACACTTAGCATGTGATATAATATCTTTACATCATGATACTAAACCTGGTGAGGTTTAATATCATGATGTAGGTACCCTTCCTCATGGGTAGGCTACACTTCTATTATTTTAGGTGTTTAAAAATAAAGAAATAAGGTAGTTCACAATTGACACCATTAAGTCAGATTTATTAGTCTCTTGCACCAGCTCCAACAACCCTCTTCACACAGTGACGTGCTGGCAAAATAATGCTCTTACAGAAAATTTTGCTTCTACTATTTTAGCTAAAAGAGCAGTTTACAGTGAATAGGAAAGGCAAGGTTACCTTCCTAAAAGGACAGCCGAATTGTGAAATACACCTCAGTTTCTGGTTTTGGCAGAGCTAAAAGGGGGAGGAAGCTGTGTGGAAAAGTCCATATTTTTCTCTGTTGTAACCTGTAGATATTAATATAACTGAGATTTTACAATATATGCCTTGCCTGTTACATGTGGGAAGATCTGTGTGGTCCAGCCACCATTTGAAGACAATGTTGTGTCCTAGGGAGACTGTGGGGTTTATGTAAAACGCTTTTTACATGCCTGTGACTCTGACAACTCAGGGAAAAATAAGGGGTTTTCAGTTCTCTGTGTTCCTTCTCTATCCTTTTCCATGGAAGCACCCTCTAGCATCTGGTAAGGATTTCTACACATTGCAAAAGGTGAGCAGCTCTAAACCCACTTTGGCTTTGGAAGGGGTTTAACTAAGCATTAGAGTCTTAAGATTAATCTCACTTATTAGGATATTGGCTTGAGGACCTGTGCTCTGGAGAGATCTCCCCAATGTCATCAAAATCCCGTGAAACACCAGATTCTTTTTAAGAATTTGATTATAAATAGAAGACTGATTTCTGTGGTTTAGGAATGGTGCTCCCCAAGACTCTCTGAACCATGTGCAGCTCTATCCTGCTCCTCAGCTTCCCCCTTCCCCTCCCCACAGCAGGCTGGGGAGGAGAAATGAAGGCACAAAAGGTCACAGGCTGAGAGGAGAACAATTTATTGGTAACAGTAATGAGATAAGAAAACTAACAGTAACAGCAACAATACTAATGAGAGACAGCACAAGAGGAGAAATTATTTACTTGCAAAAAAACCCCAATAACAGGCAACATTGGATGTCTCTCTCTGCTATGTTTGCTCGACTGGATGAGTAGCTCTTCTCCCTGGAAGAGACTCCCTTTTCCCTGCCCCCAGCAAAGATGTGAATTGGTCCAGAATAACCTTCAGGCCTGGTCACTTCAAAAATTAACCCTGTCCTGGCCCGGACCAGGGCACTGGTACAATGTAAGATTGTGAATCTTGTGTGTCTTGTCTCGGTTTACAAATATCTGGTCTGTTTTGAGAGCCTGTTGATACACAAAGCTGTTCTCTCCCAGTTTCTGAATTCTGCTGAATTGCATTTATGTTCCTTCTGCTTTTCCTTCTGAGAGCTGTACTCTAACACTAGGTAGAAGGGAATACCACAGGAATATAACTGAGCAGATGGCAATGTTGGAGATGATAACAAGTTGATATCCTTATGGGAAGGGATTCCATTGAGGCCAACCTTGACAGGCTCAAGGGATGGGTTCATGGGAGCTGCATGAGAGACAACAAGGACAAGTGCAGAATCCTGCACACAGGATAACTTCCAATGCCAGAGCAGACTGGGGGATGAGTGGATTGAGAGCAGCCCCACAGAGAAGGACTAGAAGATACTTTTGGAAGAGCTGGCAAAGTGCATTTGCAGTCCAGGAAGCCAACAGGATCCTGAGCCACATCAAAAGAATTGTGACCAGCAGATTGAAGGGAGGGATTTTCCCCCCCTCTCCTCCACACTTATGAGTCTCCACCTGAAATGTTTTATCCAGTTCTGGGGTCTCCAGTACAAGAAAGGGTGTCTTCAGTAGGTCAGAGGTCTGGAACACTTCTCCTGTGAAGAATGACTGAGAGAGCTGGGGTTGTTTAGGCTGGAGAAGGTTCTGTTTTCACCTCATTGTCACATTTCAATATAGAAACAGCCTTTGGAGAAAGAGGGAGGGAGAATTTCTAGCAGGGCCTGAGTGGCAGGACAAGGAACAATCATTTTAAACTGAAAAACAGTTGATGTAGATTGGACATAAGTAGTTTTTCATGGTAAAGGTGGTGAAACACTGGAACAGTATGCCCAGAGAAATTGTGGATGACTTATCATGGAAAGTGTTCAAGGTAGTGTTGAATGGGGCTTGGGACTAGATGACCTTTGAAGGGTCCTTCCAACTGAAACCATTTTGTGATTCTGCAATTCTGTGATTGTCCATGTAATACAACAACAGATCTTTCCATAGAATTGTCTCATTTTGTTATGTATTTAATGATTCCTTTGCAGTTTCATACATTCAAATTCCTTGCCCTTTGATTATATCACAGTATAACTTGCATTTTTTCAGGATAATACAGTTTGCATTTTAGTGATGTTTCTAAACCTATTTTTGCTGAAGATTATGTAATGCTATAATTTGAAGAAACAAGGTGCTTTGTGACTAAATGCAGCCTAGAATATTATCATGGCCTTAAAATTAAGGGATGATAAATTGCAATAAAGAGAATAATGAAACAAATGCACACATCCATTATCTTTTGTAATCAAGAATATACAACACTGGATAACAGAGACAGAATTCTTCATGTAGTAAGTTTTGTAGGAGTGATTGTTCCTAATGAACAGGTTCTATAAAACTTACTAAGATGCTTTTCAGTCAGCAGGCATGTTTCTACAGTGGCAAAACCAAAAGCCAACTTCCCTAGTTTCAGCTGAGGTTAATAGGTGTCTCATTAGAGGAAGAATCAAGATCTTTGCAAGACTTTGCTGCCTCCTTTCAAATTCTCTCAAAAACCATTGATGATTGAGGGACTCTATTGCCACCCACAAAGTTAGAGATCACTGCAGAACACAGTTATTAATCTTATTCATCATCACCATAACGAGTTTTTTCTTTGCTAAACTGAGTATGCCTGTATGCCTTTTTCTTTTTCTTTTTTTTTTTTTTTTTGTTAATGCACTGATTTGGATTATCTTACCCTCACAGGCTGCTTAAAAAACCTCAAAGTGCTCAATGTGAGTTTCAATAATTTGAAGTCAGTCCCTCCAGAACTGGGTGATTGTGAGAATCTAGAAAAACTGGATTTGTCTGGAAATATGGAAATAACAGATCTCCCATTTGAAGTAAGATAACAATCAATGTGTTTTTTTTTTATTTGGCTTACAAGGTATTTTATTACAGTCTTCAAGTCTTTTCTCGACAGATTAAATCACATTCCTTGCAGTTTCTAGCAATAATGGTTTAGTGGTGATATCACTGAAAATGCCTGAACAGCAGTTAAATGGGACCAAGCTACTTTGTTTTGGTTTTCAAGTGACTAAATTTTGCTTGTATGTCTTCTGATACATGAAGGAGGACATGATCCTCAAAAGGATTTGGCTATAAATGGAATAAGAAGAAGGCTGCTTATCCTTCTGACAATCTCCTACTCAATGGGATGGAAAGCCACTAAAACTGAGTGTAGTTTACTGGGTAATGGTTCACTTAAACCCTGCAGGAAAAAAATTGGATCTGTGCAAACGACTTTATGTAACAGCAAACACTGGAAGCAACATCGTGTTAAAATGATATAAAAGGTCAAGAAGGAAAACCTTGGCATTATCTATTGTGTTCCCACTTTTCTCTGGAGGCTGGAACTCATTTGCAACTGTCTGGCTACAAAAAGCTCTTCTGATTTAGTTTATAGAACTGGTTTTCCAGAATCAACGTTGCAAGGGCAGCTTTGGCAGCTGAACATGCAATTAAAGGAACATTTATCAAATTGATTTAAAGTGCCGCAAAGTGTTTGGCCTTCAGTGTGCTCCACATGGCTCATGCCATTGAGAACAATTGCATCAGTAGCCTTGCTGACATGATGGGTGTCTGGGGTTTGAATCTCAGGTGGACAAATGGCTGCAGTGATTGGCAGGTAACTATTTAATGAATAAAAATATATTAAATATGTTAATGAATTAAAATATATTAAAATATTGAGTTGGTCTGAGCTGTATAAAGGGGCAAAACAGAAAGACAGTGGTGGGCTCGCTTTGGCTAATAATCAAATGCCCACCCAGATTCTCACTCCATCCCCTTCCTCTGCAGATATTGGGAGAAAACAGGTTCAGAAAGCTCATGGTTTGAGATAAAATCCAGTAAGATTGTTTACCATTTACTTTTGTAGGCAAAATGGATTATGCTTCAGGAAGATCAATGTTGGTGAATATATATTTGAGTAGTGAGAAACAAATAAAATAAAACATTATCTTTCATCCCCTTTCTCCCAAGGGATTCCTCTGCCATTCTTGAGCAGTGCAGGGAGGCAGTGGAAGTTGCAGCCAGTACACGAAGTTAAGTTTTTATTTGACTTTCAGATCCTTAAAAGTTTCTTCTGGGAAGATTAAAGAAGTGTATGAGAGCCACATCAGTATTCTCCAGTGTAAAACTTGCTCAAAAGAAATAAAGGCAAACTGCAGCCCAGCAGAAATTATCTAAGTCTAATTTTGCCTTGGTTTTTTTTTACCTAGAATAATGACCAGACAGACACTGATAACATATATGAAAATGAATTCAAAGATATATATGAAAATTAATTCAAACATTCATGTAAACCTAAAATGTCTGTCCAAGTGTTTCCAGGGCTGAGTCCTGAGAAACCACCAAGAAACCTGGAATTCAAAACATGTCTGAGTTCCATCAACAATTCAATTTTTGATGCATCCATAAAGGATTACGAGATCATCAGAGCTCTGAGACTGAATTACATCTTCAGTAATCACTTTCCCTGTTCCCTTTCCATCCATTTTCTCTATGACAGTTGGAAAAAATACAGAAATCTTGAAGCCCTTATTTTATTTGATTATTCAGTGTTTTGCTTTCTTAGGAAAAGAATTCTGGTGGGTTTTTTTTTAAATATAAACCCAAAATATTAAATGATCAGTTAATTTAGGGGGAGAAATCTTAATGAGATAGGTCATGTGACACAAGACTGTAGTTGCTACTTGGAAATGGTAGAGGGTGAGTGTAGACTAGTCACAAACCCATGCAGTGTCATCAAACACCCTTTTACAATATAAGTTCCTAATGGTGAAGACAGGTACTGTATAGGTATATAAATTTCTTCTGGCATATCAATTGCTTCTGATCCTAAATTTTTCAGTCAGCCACATAAGAAATTCCCAGGTTGTTATGATGTGTGTTAAGTCTGTGAATTTGTTTTATAAATAAGGGAAACTTCAGGACAGACAAGATGCTAAGCACCTTTATCCTGTACTACTTTTCAGGTAACTACAGTTGCTAAGGAGGTTTCCAGCATGTATACTGACTGTACTTCTTGTCTTTTTAACCCACCAATTTTTTTTTTGTTGTTTTCAATAAAACCATTTCAAGCTGAGATATGCTCTGATTGAGATGCTCCAGCACAACTTAAATCTTGTGAATCTTCATTCTCTGTTAAATGAGGGTGTGTGCTCTCATCTTTTACTTCCTCAAGGCTTATGATTTCATACCATTCCACACTATGGCTAAGGAAGAATCTGCTTGAATATCTATTTCTCAATTTATTTTTCTCTCTTCCACTGTTGAATGTCAAACATTTTTAGACATTAAAGAGTTACAGTGAACATCAATATTTGATCAGTATCACTTGAAAAGTAAGTCCTTTGGCAGAAAAAATTATGGATCTGCAGTTGAATTCAAATCTGTATCAGCCATATTTGTAAATTAACAACATCTTGATCTGGACCTGAATGAAAATATAAATTTGAAATAAAATGTAAATGTTAGAAAAGGCAACGTACATGACATTACATTTGTACAGCCAGTTTCTAACAGGTACTTCTCAACCTCAGTAACCAGATTTAGCAGAGGAGAGTACACTGAGAGGCTTAGGACACAATCCTCCCTGATATGACACATAAAATTCTTCTTAGATGGGGATGCACTTGTTCTTCTGGCTGAGATGCTCATGAGAGGCATGCCTTGCATGTTATCCAGTCCATCTCCTAGCACAGTGTGATTTTATTGGATACCACATATCAGTAGCTGCAGAGAGAAGGGGATTGATGGATGGATTAATTTACAAATTTCTTGTATGTTTTTGTGTGAATTTAGGACTTAGTATGATGCTGGTGTTTGTATTTTAGCTGTTGGACAGGATCTCTGTTAATATGTTCATACATGCTGTGCAATAAATTTGTTTTTCCAGGAATAAAAGCTGCATTATAAATAATGTATTTTCTCACACAAGTATGTAGAAAACTGCTCTGATCTTACTTTTAGGTGTGCTTTCTTTAGAAAATATTACTTTCTACGCTTATTTACCAAATCACCCAATTAAATTTTCCTGTGCGTGATATTTCAAAGAGTCAGTTTTGCTGTGGTTTTGTTTTTCTGCCAATAACGTTGCTGCAGCCAAGAGTATCTATAGATGCCACCCAAAGGAACTTGAGTGAGAAGAGAGGGAAGATGAAGAGGTTTTCATTTCTTCCCTCTATTCCATCTGGTGCGGCACACGCTGTCAGCCACAGGACAGACAAGTCATTCCATTCTGTCCAACAAGACAGAAATGCTTACAGTAGAGATTCTGATATAGAAAATAAATTTAAAAGGGTTTTTTTCAAAGCTACTCTGCTTTGAACAGTGTTCAGCACCACATCTGAGCAGCCCCAGTGAGTGATCTGAATGTTTTCTGTATCATTTGTGAGCTCTGGGTAGTGCGAAGTGAAGGAATCAGAGACTGTTACAGCATATGAATGCTTTGTCAGTCAAAGTGTATATGTATGTATACTTGCATTTTCATGTCAATCCTATCTAAACTGATCTTTGAAGTTCAGAGAAATGAGAAGGTTGTGCTTTCTGGCTATTTTAGCACACACAGTTACCAAAAGATCAAATTAAATCTTGTTTCATATTTCTGATGCATAGAAAGTTTCAGCTGAGTCCTGAGATAAGCAAGTACAGACTTGAGGACCTTTCAAAATCACAGAATCATAGAACAGTTTGTGTTGGAAAGGATCTGTAAAGATCATACAGTCCAACCCACCTGCCATGGGCAGGGACATCTTCGACTAGATCAGGTTGTTCAGAGCCCTGTGCAATCTGACCTTGAATGTTTTCAGGGATGGGGAATCCACCACCTCTCTGGCCAGTGTTTTACCACCCCCATTATAAAAAATGTCTTTATTATAGCAGACTGAATATAACCTCTTTTAGTTTAAAAACATTACTCCTTGTCCTATCACAACAGGCTGTACTACAAAGTGTCTCAGGCTTTATTTTAAGCCAAATTTAAGTACTGAAAGGCCACAGTGAGACCTCTCCTGGAATCTTCTTTTCTCCAAGTTAAACAACCTGACTCTTTCAGCCTGTCCTCATAGGAGAGCTGTCCCATTACTCTGGTAGTTCCTGTGGCTCTCTTCTGGACCTGCTCCAACAGGTCCATGTCTTTCCTGTGCTGAGAACTCCAGAGCTGGACTTAGTACCCCAGGTGGGATCTCACCACGGTAGAGGGGGAGAGTCTTCTCCCTCAACCTGCTGGCCATGGTGCTTTTGATGCAGCCCAGTTTAAGACTGGTCTGCTCATGTCCAGCCTCTCATCCACCAGCACCCCCAAGTCCTTCCCGGCAGGGCTGTTCCCAACCCCTTCATCCCCCCGGCATTGCCCCAGGCCCAGCCACAGCTCCCTGCACTTGGGCTTCTTAAACCTGCTAAGATTCACATGGGCCAAGTTCTCCAGCCTGCCCAGGTTTCTCTGGGTGACACTGCATCCCTCAGACAGGAGTAATCTGCAGCCTGGCTGAGCGTGCACTCCATCCCAGTGTCTGCATCACGGGTGCAGAAGAGATTGGATAACACTGGTCCCATGACGGAGCCCTGGGGGACACCACTGCTCCCTGCTGGACATTCAAACACTCAATCATTGGCCAGGACACTCTGGATGAGACCATCCAGCCAATTCCTCATCCCCTGAACACTCCAACCACCCACTCCATGTCCCTCCACTTCAGCCAGAAGGGTGCTGTGGTGGAGCACGGCCACAGCCTGAGGGAAGTGCAGAGGGATGGGATGTGCAGCCCTTCCCAGGGTCACTGCTGCATCCCCTCGGTGTAGAAGGGCACTGAGGGGTCAGGCAGGACTGGGTGAAGCC